GCTTGAGCCACAGGCGCCCAGCCAATACAAAGTTTCTTAACATCATTTGTGCCTGTTGACTTTTACTTTGATGCAGATATATCGAGATATTTCCAAGCAGAAGGAATGAAGTTCGAACACATGTTGGCGCTCATAAAGGAAAGAAAATAGCATCTTCTCCTATGGCTAAGTATATAACTGAGCCAGAAATGGTCTTTGAAGAACATGAAGGAAATGAGGATATTCGACCCATGACAGCTTTTGAAAATGAGAAGGAAATAGGTAAGGTCCTTCCTCTTCTTGAGGCTTATTATGTCTGTCTTGTATGTTTTGAGTTTTGTTAAACTTTTTTATTGATTGTGTATGAAATTGTAAGACAACAAGATAAGGAGATTGAGTTAGAGATTACTGTCTTTGAGTATAGTATATACTTTAAATATATGCAGAAGGGTTTAATTAGTTTCTGAGGCTTTTTTTTTTTTGAGACAGAGCCTCAAGCTATCTCCCTGTGTAGAGTGCTGTGGCATCACAGCTCACAGCAACTTCCAACTCCTGGGCTCAAGCGAGTCTCCTGCCTCCGCCCCACCTCCCAAGTAGCTGGGACCACAGGTGCCCACCACAATGCCTGGCTATTTTTTGGTTGCAGCCGTCATTGTTTTGGCGGGCCTGGGCTGGATTCAAACCCACCACCTTAGGTGTATGTGTCTAGCGCCTTAGCCACTTGAGCCACAGGCGCCAAGCCAGTTTGCAGGATTTTTAATTTATCATTTGGTAGACTCCACATCAAAAACTGAGTAGTAGGGCGGTGCCTGTGGCTCAGTGAGTAGGGCGCCGGCCCATATATCGAGGGTGGTGGGTTCAAACCTAGCCCTAGCCAAACTGCAACAAAGAAATAGCTGGGAGGGCGCCGGTAGTCAGGAGGCTGAGAGAAGAGAGTCTCCTGAGCCCAAGAGCTGGAGGTTGCTGTGAGCTGTGAGGCCACAGCACTCTACCAAGGGCAATAAAATGAGACTCTTAAAAACAAAACAAAACAACTGAGTACTGAAAATTCAGTGAAATGGCTCCGCCCATAGCTCAGTGGCTAAGACACCAGCCACGTATACAGGGGCTGGTGGGTTCAAACCTGGCCTGGGCCTGCCAAACAACAATGACAACTACAACAACAAAAAAACAACCAGGGGTTGTGGCGGGCGCCTAGAGTCCCAGCTACTTGGGAGGCTGAGGCAAGAGAATCACTTAAGCCCAAGAGTTTGAGGTTCCTGTGAGCTGGAATGCCACGGCACTCTACTGAGGGCGACATAGTAAGACTCGTCTAAAAAAAAAAA